AGCAGGAATTCATTAGCATAATAGGCCATACCTAACAGCAGAAACTCATTAGGATTGGCTACATTAGGGGTGTGTGGCCTAACATGCAAAGGAGTTCCTGCTACAAAAAACCCCCAGAGTTTTGACAACAAAACAAAGTAAACAGAATAAGAAGCAAAAGGTGGGTGTGGCAACATGGGGTTGTGGCCTGATATGCCAATGAGCTGTGATGTCAGGGTGTGGCCTGATAGGCTAACGGGTTTTTGCTGTTGGGTGTGGCCTATTATGCTAATGAGTTCCTGCTGGGCTTTTTCTACAAAAAAAGCCCTGTGGCAGGGTATGAGCTTTCATGGGTTTCTGAAGAAGTGAGCAGTGACTCACGAAAGCTCCTCTCCTGCCACAGATTTTGGTAGTCTTTAAGGTGCTACTGGACTCTTGCTCTTTTCTGCTGTTACAGAGATGGACTAACATGGCTGCCCATCTTGATCTATCTCCAAGGAGGCAGAGTTTGGTAACTTCCTTAAATGTCTTGTGTGTCAAAAACATCACATGTTTTTTTGTGGAATCTGAAGGACCAAAATGGTGAAACTATTTTAGGTGAGCGGTAGCCTCCCTCTTCACTGACAGCTCTGAATTCTCGCTTAATCAGGGATGCAAGATCCACTCCTTGGGTCCTGTGGTCTCGTTGACGCATTCTGGATTCGCTCCACGCCACATGCCTCCTGTTTTCTGGGGTGAATCCTGTCATTCGTGCTGCAGTTCTCATCAGCAAGAACAGCTGACTTCTGCAACCTGTATAAACAGGCAGAATTAAGTCTGCATAATGTAGCTTTGGTTGAATAATAACCGAGGGGGCATGGTTGTTGAGTAAGAGTGTGTTTTGCATGCGAAAGGAAAAATCTTACCTGGAGTCTCCAGAGAGACCCCTTCACTTGGAATCTAGTGAGTGGTCTTACTCTGGTTTATGGGTGTTTCATATTTCCCCTAGACGTAGCCGTCCAGCACAATTATGACACGTAACACACCCACAAAACAAAATGAACAAGGTCTGTGTAACTGCAGGGTTGGTTTACTAAACACATCCAGATAGGTCAGGTATCTTGAGCCGGGTTGAAGCTGCAGGATATTGTAACTCTGGGAGGGAAAGGGTTAAGACAATTCTCTCACTCCAGTACCCTTGGTAGTTGGTCCCAACCTCTTATGGGTTAGAAGCCGAGTCTCTTTGGCCGTTGCTTGCCTTCTGTTTCGTCTTATATAGGGCCTCTCTTCTTCTTTTCTCTCTCTCTTTCCTGGGCTTGGCGCTCTAGCAAGTTAACCTTTTGGAAGTTAATCTGTTCACAATAAGTTAAATGTGCCTACATGACTATGTCACTTAAGATGTGCTTCTGTTTTTGTAAGTAAAATTTCTTTCTCTTGTTACCACTGGAGTCAGTTCATCTTTGTAATTTGTTTGAACAGCATTTCCCCCTCAGCTGGAAATGTGGAGAATCGGGGATAATGCGATAAAGCTTCAGAGGCTTCAAGTAAAATTATTATTATTATTTTACGTTTAGTCCAATAGAAGCATGAGGCGAAATATTCCTTCCCTCAGCTAAACTTTTTGGAAGAGTCCTTCCCACCCCTGATGCAACAAGACAAGAACCCTGTCCAGTGGATATTGTTGGTCCTGTAGTCAGTCTTTTCAGTGAAATATTCCATGGTGTGGCAATTCCTGATGTTCCACTGGGGGAGTTGGAAAACTACCTATGAAATCTTTGGAGAAAGGAAACAACATTAGCCTGGTTGAGCTAACATATTCAAGTCATACCCTGTGGGTGTGTCTCTATGAATATCTGAAGGGCCCTCTCCTTCTGCCTGTCCCTTGGCACCAGCTATGGTCATCAGGCAGCCACCTGCTGGCTATCCCACCACTCAGTGTGGCCCATCTGGCATCATTCAAAGCCTCTGAGCCTTTCCCCTTGTGCCTCCCTGTCACGGCTCAAATGGGGTGTCACCTGACGCTGCCACCACTCTGGTTCCAGACTCCTCTGAGAAGGCCCAGAGCACCCTCCCAAGCCTTTAGACCTCCCTTTTAGCCGAAATGAGCATGAGGACCAGGCAGAGTGAACAATGATAACGGTTTATTTTATAGGAGGTCAAACAAACAATGTGCAGGAATAATAACAGTAAGTGGGTGAAAAGAAAAGAAATCAAATGCCCTAACGCGTCTAAATATATTGTCCCTAGCTCAGTATCTCAAGTGGCCTTAGACTACTTGCCCTTCCCTTAGGATGAGGGTTTCTTCCGCACAGCAGCCTTCCTTCTGGCCCTGTTCCCTGGGAAGAAGAACAGCTTCTCCTCTTGCACCAGTTCTTTTATTCCACAGCCCTCTTCTTCCCTATTGTCCAAAATTGTAGCCAAAACTTCCCAAGGCTTTCTGGGGTTTGTAGGCCCAGCCCCCCCTACTGCTAGCCAGGCTCCCTGAGCCTACTAGGCCTCCGGTGGCACAGCCCAGATCATGACACTCCCACTCTGTGGAATGGGCTCCCTGAAGAAGGGAGGGGCCCCTCCCTGGAGATCAGGTGGCACTGCAAGGCACTGCCCGTTTGTCGAGGCTTTTGAGAGGGGTTGAATTGGCAGGCGTGTTTTACAGGTGGTGGTGGGGAAGGGATTTGGGGCTTGCTATTATTTTTGGTTCTTGGGCTGAAAACTGATTTTTTAACTCTCGTCGTAAGCAGCATTGAACCACGAGGAAAGGCAGGATATAAATGTTTTAATAAATAAGAACGTGCCGCCGATCTTCTCGTGTATTTTTTTAAAGGCACTGCAGGTGGTCCTTGGAGCCACATAGGAAGCCTTTTGGATTCAGACTCTCCAATATTTTTATGTGGATTTTAAAACCATGCGCAAGCCCTGAGCGTAGCCTTTGCTCACAGAGGGGCCTCGCTGGAGACCCAGCCGCATCTGAATAGCCCCCATTGCTTATGCATGCATGGGCCAAAGGCATGCTGAAACGCGGGGACGATGTCCGTGCGTCAGTTTCCTTGCCCCTTTAAGGTTCAGCCATCCTCCCGTTGCCTCTGCTTCTGCAAAACTGCAGTCGCCTCAGTAGCTTGCACAGGCCCAACCCTCTTTGAATTCTTTTGAGATAATAAAAAAAGAGCCATTCCTCTTTTGTAAGTGTTTGTTAAAACAGGGCTTCGTAAATGGAGAG